CGATCTTTAAAATAAAATTTTCAGAACTATTGTTAATCAGTCTTCTTGGTACGTAACTAATGAGACCATCAATAACAGGCAATAAGAAATTTGAGTAATAATTATCATTATAAACTTAGAAAACATCCAAATACGCAATATCAAGAGTGGCTGCTTCAAGTATTTTATTCAAGCTGATAAATGCAAACCAACTAAAAAAAATTTGATTGGAAGATATAAGCATATATTCAGCACTAAAAGATCATTTCTAATAGGGAATCCCATCACTTGAGAAAACATGTGCATAAGATTCAATATGAACATTTAAGCTTATAGAAATGGATATAAATTTTTATTTTTCAAAATAATAAAAAAGTCTATCTACTATCTACTAAATTTATAAAATTTTACTTTTATTAAAAACATGCAAAATATATCTGTATCTTGAATTTGAAGCACTAACTTTGTAATACCTTCAACGATTAAATTTGCATGAAAGTTTGCTTTTTCTGTGCATAAACATTGAATGAAAGCCAAATGAAGATCGTTCCTAAATACTCAAATAATCCTAAAGAATTCAAATAGCACAAGCAAGGTATGTGAAAGAGCGTACCTTGCCAAAGCAATGTCCTGACATAAAACATTAAGTAAAGCATTCTGGGATAATGCCAGTTTCAATTTAAAGATTATCTACCCTTGATCTCTTTGAGATTCGTGAGAGGTGCAGAACTAAAGCTTTTGCTCCAAAAATGAGACTTTGACTTGAGGTATACATGTACATTAACTACACACAAACTAATTAAACTCTAATCGAAGTATTTACAATACAAAAAGCAAAAGTAGTAATAAATAGAAACATAAGAAAGTTATAGATCATATTCATGTAAAAATCTAAAATATAGAGCATTTTTTATATATATAAGGGTATACTTTTATTACTTTATATTTTCATTTAATGGTTACTGCAGTCGTCAAAAAATTCACATAAAGTTCTGTTTTTGTTTTCAATATGTATACATGTAAATGTTAATTTTAAACAGCGTATTGAATTGAAGCACTACTATGAATGTTTCATTAATTAGATGCACGTTGCATTTTGCCTTTTGACATAATCAATAAGAATTAAGATTTAGCAACTTTTAAAATTGTGCCGAAAAAAGGTTGAAAATTTGGCAAAATTTTCAATGAATTATAATAATTACTAAAAGTGGTGGTTTAATTATATTTAAACCTCGTGAACTTATAACTTTTAAGATAATCATTAAGACCAACTTCCATAAACATCGCAAAAAGAAATTTTCAACAATTAATTACAAAAAAACGGCCATTTTTACCGAACATTTTTACCGAACGGTTCGATATTTACCGAAAACTAATCAGCATTGTCTTGCAAAACTAATCAACGAAAGTACATTCATTAAACGGCTTCTAAATTTAGGAAATCAGAGCAGCCCGTTTTTGAGAAAAATCCGATAAAAAGTAAAATTTTTGCTCACGTAAGTAGACCCATGCATACACATTTTTCAATTCTGACTTCAAACAATTCAGAATGACTTGACACGTCGGGAAAACATAAAATTAGCAAGTTAATAGAATGTCATACGCTGTGCATCTATTTTAGTATCTTATCAAACGTTGTCTTATAAAATTCATTATCTTATATAATACATATTATATTTCCAGATTCCAGCAACAAATTAGATTTAACTCGTTTAGAGTGGCGGGCGTAGCCCAGAATTGTAATGACGAATTTGTATATGATAATATATTATTGTAATTAATATATTAGTATATAAAGTATGCAAAGTATCGAAGATGTATAGAAACTAGTAAAAATTTCGGCAGAATTAGAAGAAGACTTAATAGTATTAGTAGAAGCAAGAAGAAGACGGATCAGAAGAAAGAAGATTTAGTAAAATTAAGATAATGTAACGAGATAACAAATTAATAGAAAAAAAAGTACTTAAAAATGTATATAATGCCTTGAAGTTGGAATTTAAAATGTTGATTTGAAATTGCATTAAAAATATAGATAATGAAATGAATTAAATAAATAATATAGAATTCAGAAATTGAACGTTGTAGGTGGCTAAGTGCTCCAAGTAAGCGAGGCCAATAAAAATAAAAAAACGCGTTTTGAAGAGTATAATTACAGTAGCTTAGTAGCTACTTATATAGTTTTATCAGTATGTTTCATATTTTAAAAATAATTCACATATTACAAAAATAGGATTTTCCTGGGTTGTCTTCTAAGGAACATAATTATAATCATCTCAAAATAATTCTGTTAATATATGTTAATTAAATAAATAATTCATATAGTACAAAAATATCATTTTCCCTAATAGGTTGTCCGACACGCTCTGATCACATCAAATTAACATTAAAACGCATTGAAATAATACTGTTGAAAAATAAATACTTTAATTCTTTTTTGTTCCTTTTTTTCATTATATAACAAACAGACAGATATTCCGCTAATATACTCACGGAGTTGCTGGCGCGTCACATGCGTCGACCGCGCGGAGTCCAAAGGGTTAATAAGCCTTTATGTTTATCCCAAAATAATTACTGAACGTCTTGTTCATATTAATATGCAGATAACAACTTGTAATTTTTATTAAAATATAAAAAAAATCCGCAACAAATCAAAAACACATGATTCAATCAAATTATATTTACATCTATAACTTACTTTTTTAACTTGCAAAAACAGCTACTATAAAACAAAAATGGGTACATATTTAGTGAAAATTATCTTATTATACTAAATCATTCAATTAAAATTTACGATAAGCCGTATTAGCCTCCAATAGAAGAGAAAAACCGAGTAAGAATTTCCGTAACAGGTATCACGGGTCACGTGCAGACCATTTGCACCTTTGCAGGATACGTGAAACTGGGACGCGCTGCGAATTGATTTTACTTCTTGGTTGGGGAATGAAAAATACCAAGTGCTTCAAGATCCATTTGCATCCCAGCATTGTGATATATAAAATATATATAAAGCAATATTTTTATATGGCTTTGGAAAATCATTTCATTTATGACAATGAAATTGCTATATATTTATTATATGATATGAGTGCTTCATACATCTCAAAGTAATGGAATATACTTTAAATGTGGCATAATGTTTCTCAATGTTTTATATGGACTTACTTCACATCAATTCGAGTGGTGTATGGCATTGTCCCAAGTCAAATTGCTGGAACTTCTCGTACCGTAATGAAATATTCGAATATAATGGAATTAATTAAATAATAATGGAATATTAAATGTTATCTAGATTATTACAAATTTTATAACTTTCATCATTCTTATTTTATAGACAAAATATAAGAGCTTACGAATTGGACGACGACAATTACAAAACTTCTAATATTTATAAGAATTATATAAACTGAATTGCAAAGTTAAAATTATATATTTGAAGTATATAAGTGAGCTTTAGAGCTTTAGAACTAGCTAGAATTAAAATTAAAATCCAAATTATTTTCGATATCCAAAAAAATATTTTTTGAACATTTTTTCTCCAAAAGCAATCGTTTCGTCAACACAAGCAGAAAATTTTTTGAATCATTCAAATCGGATGCTTAGTTCTCCCAAAAGCTGCCATTTTTTGCACATTTAGCACCGTATCTCCAAAACGGCAGAACCTGTCTTTGTCAAAAACTAATCACCCTTCTCCCCACCATTATGAATTGCATGTTTTTTGGATCATTCAAATCTGATGCTTCGTTCAATCAAAATCTCGATTTCTATTTTCTACACTCTTTGCTCCGTGTCTCCAAAACGGTTTGACCTGTCTTTACCAAATAATAATCAGCACGTCTCCCTATCAATAGGAATCGAATGTTTTTTTAATTATTCGTGTACGAAAAATGGTGGACCCACAAAACACACACACACATCAATTTTTTCTAATGTATGCCAAAATGTTCAGAAACTTTCAAAACGTGAAGAAATGCAAAAAATTTTCAATTTCGATTTTTCGATGATTACAATAACTTACCCTAAGGGAAGTTAACAAAATGATGATAAAATTTGTAAGATGTCAAAGAAGTTATTAGTATGAAATGAAACGTACATCCACAAACAATACATAATAACATTAATATTTTTTTTTAGTCTTTATTAATAACAAATCAAATATAAACGTTTGTCATTTTTCTGTATATATTATTTAAAAAAATAATTCATGTTATTTAATTTATTCTATATTTTTATTTATTGCGTTTATTGAAGTTTAATAAATACTCCTATATTCATTTATTCAATGAGAATTTCAACAATCGATTGGATAAAACATCTAAGTATTCATTTTGTATTCACGACCATCAATTCATGAATCATGACTTATTAAGAAATCTTACTAATACGATTAATACTATTAATAGTACAGATTTTATAATATTAACAGTACTAGATTATACTATTATATAATTATACTAGAACTAAAAGAATTAGTTTTTATAATGAATGATTGGCTAAAAATTTTGCCATGAGATTTGATTTCTTCAGGAAAATAATTCACATTGAAAAATTTCTTGTAAATCGCCTTATCCCAAAATTTATCGTCAGTGTTAATCATATTGATCACAATACATTAAAATACAAGCAAATTAATAAATTATTTTGTTAACTTTACATGTATTTCAAAAGAAAGTATGTTTATGTTGATTTCTGTTCATTTTGGTTCATCTCCAAACCAATTTGGTAATATTCGAAAACTCAATCATTCAATTCATCTCCAAACCAATTTGATGTATTTTCAATGAATAATAAAAAGTATATATAGTCACCGTGTAACTTCTCCAGTAAATAATTGACTAATGCAATAAAATAAACTTTTTTTACAAATCATCTTACATTTTGAGCAACTTATATCTCGATTTTAAAAAATCGACAATTTCGTTAGTCATTTTGAAGTTATTCATAGTAAATAAATGAATTCCTTTCACATTTTGAAAACTGCACCTGCTGCAATCCAAATATTTAAATTCCAATATCTCACTCACAAGTTTAACTATAAATTCTGTATAATATTCTTCGAATTGCTTATTATCAAAGTTGCACACATTTATTAATTCTGATGGCAAAGACACTTTTGCTATGCCAGATATTTTCTCTAGAACTGCATAAGATGGAGCTAGCAATATTCCTGGTATTATCGGAATATGAATATCATAAATGTTGTGGCAATTTTCAACAAAATTTATGAAATCCATGGCGTTGAAAAAGAATTGAGTGATGATAATTCCTGGACCTGATTCAATCTATCAAAATCAATATATTTTGATAATTTCAATATAATTACCAAAATGTTGTACAATTATTTATATATCACCTTCTTTTTGAGTATTTCAAAATCTTGCTGAACTGATAAACTTTCTGGATGCCCCTGTGGATAACCAGCAATAGCAAGGTTAAATTTAGGATAATTTTTGTTATTGTTTATAGCTTCCATTAGCTCCAAAGCATTTTTAAATTCTACGAACTCATCTCCATCTATAAAAATATAGACTAAAGAAAATACTATTTTATTTTTCATTATTATTTTAAATCACAGTAAACACACATTCAGAATTTTGCTCGCAAATATATGAAAAATTTTAGTGGAAAAATTCTTCACTTACATATGTTCTCCTAATAATTATAATTGGCAATAAAAATATATTTATTCCAATTCATTTGAATCAGTTCCAGGATTAAATATTTCAGTGCATTGGAAAGTTTTCAGCGTTATAAATGCCAAAATAAATCAATAAAACCATTGTAGATAAAATTACTTGCATCATTATAATTAATTTGCAAAAATAATTGCATCATTATAATTAAAAATTATATTACATGGACTTGATTTTGAATGTTTGTCTGAATAACCAACTACAAAAATTATTCAAGTTTATTTCTTTATGAGCTTTAACTCAAAATTTGTTTAAATATCAATAATCCAAAAAATAATTTATACTGGTAGGACATCTACAATTTCATTATAATAATAAAGTAAAATTACAAAAGAACCTGATATTCATTTTTTCATTTATTTACATACCTCCTCTCAATACCAATAAATCCACGACATCAAAACTTCTCAATTTCTCCAGAATATATTTTAATTTTTCAAAAGTCATTTGATAACATGTTAAATGCACCATCGTTCTTTTATTCATTTCCTTTAATTTTTGTAATAAATCAAATAGCTCCTTCAATGAACTATCATTTTCTAACAATTTAAATTTAGCCAATTTTCCAGTCCAAACAACGGAAACGAACAAGGAATCGTTCAAATTTCCATTTTTTATATCCAATTCCTTTATATTTGTGGTGATTTCGTAAGATACAAACACCTTGTTGTCCAATGAGGTATTTTCTTTTAAGAATTTTTGGATTGAAATGTTCTTCTTATCCAAATTCTGGGTTGACATCATGATATCACTATGTTTTGGCTTATTCATTAAAATGAAATTATTTTTCAAATTACAAAGCCCTGGAACAATATATGTATGATAAAATTGCTGTAGATTGCTAACTACGTGACTCCAACTATAGTAGACATCAATCTGATTAAACTCATTAAATCTGATAAATCATCACTGTTTTAATTATCACCATAACAATAAGATATATATTTAATTATAAAAATGGTTTATCATATGACTTGAAAAGAGAAATCTTTTATTATGATAAGATAATAGGCACTTCCAATAAGGTATTCTTAAAATTAGGGTAGAGCGGGGCTTAAAGGTCCAAATTTTTTACTATCAATATTTGAAAGTAGAAGGATAAAAATGTAAAACCAGCTATCACTTTCACGATATTAATTTTGGGAGGTAAACAGCAATGTTTAAAAATACATAACAAAAGTATTTTCTTTCGTTGTTAGTTTCCTAGGTTGTGAGCAATGTTGTTTAGTTTACGAGGCCTTAATATAATTTTAAAGTACACGTTATGTAGTTGTTTCAGAAAATATATCATTATTTTATGTTATATTTAAGAGGTTTTTCTTAAATAACCTTTATAGAAGTTTACACGTGGGTGTGATATAAAGAACCAGCTGAACCTTTACACTGGCAAACAATAAATAATAGTAAATAAACAAGTAAATCAAATAAAAAAGCAATTTTGCAATAAATAAATTAATAAATAGTAATTCCAACTCTGCTGGTAAATACTTGTGACAAAATACCAGATCAATGTTATATACATTGCTATTTCTGTAAAAAGTGTACCCATTTTGCATTTGTTGAATAAAGTAGCTATTATTGTTAAAAAATTACAATAAGACATTGAAAATTATTGCCCCCTCGCCGTCCCATCTTACCCCGCCTATGGGGTAAAAAAGACCAGATGACAAATTTTTGAAAAACAGCAAAAAAACACATTTCTACAAAGATGAATTAACTGGGAGTTTTACTGTACCTAGTCAGAAAGTTGTTTGTTTGATATGTGTTATCTGCTGTAATATATTTGATTTGGTTTTCACAATATAATTGCACAAAGTCAAATTGGACCTTTGTGCCCCGCCCTAGCCTATATATGCAAGTTCTATGAGCTATTGTGATGTAATTCATTAACCTAATGTTAATGGAAAGAAATCCATTTGACGAATCTTTTTCAGGTGAGTTTATTATAAAAGGAATTCATATATGTATATTGCACAAATGCTCCAGAATGCAATTTTATTTTGAAATTGTTCATAAATCTACAATTTTTATAAAACTATACATATAAGATATAGTTTTAAGTAGAAATTATCTTTTGGGGCATACTAACGATATAAAAACCTGTGGTTGCAAGACCAAGCTCTTACCACGGAGCCATGGAGATGCTTTCATAAGGAACATATTTTTGTCAAATTATAAAATTTTCTATAAAACAAATTATGGGATGCTGTGAAAATATAACAATTTCAAGGCGGAACACCATATGTAGGTTTATTCGCCTGCGATTTTATACTGGTTTGGAGTTTTGCAATCATGCATATATTAAGCGCAGAATGATTCATTACGTCAACAGTATTAATTTTCACAGATCGTATTTAAATAATAAAAACATGATTTTGTACTAATCTATTCGCACTTATGTATCGTGATCCAAATAAAGTACCGAATCAAAAAAAAATATTACAGAAAACTTTTATAAAATTATATTTTCTTTTACCTTATCTTTTCACTAATTGCTGTTTCAACCCGATTCCTAAATTCGCGACTACATATTTCTTTGTAGTTGCGTTTTTCACTAAAAACTTTTTCTAACTGTCACTAAAACTTTTTAGAAACTATCACTAAAAGCAATGTATTACAAACAAACAAGAATTATAATATACTTAATAGTATTGATTTAATATGTCACACACATAAATATTTAATAATAAAACAAGCTAAAATATAATACTGTTCATTCTACTTCGTGTTTTAACAATGTATATTATTTAAAATGGCGGACGTCAACGATCATCTGACCAAATCTCAGATTGGTCTGCCAACAAGCTTACCAACTTAAGCTAAAACTGTATATTCAGAAAGTGGTTCATTATACTAAATTTTAATAATTCTTCATAATTAAATCATTTATATTACTGCTTAAAGTTTCATTAAAATAGGGAAAAAGTAATAATTAATTACAAAGAAACGTCCCGGCCAAATGTTATCAAAAGCTAAATCAGCACGATTACCAACTGATATCTTTCGAACGGTTTTTGAATATTTAAAACCTATCCAGCAATTTTGGCAAAAACGTGGACGAAAATGTTTTGCAGTTATCTGCTAATTATAAATATCTACCGATCGTCTCCCAATAGGTTTATAAAATGGATTAAAATTATTAAAATCGGATTATAATTTTGTTTTGACATCAAAACGCATAAGACTAGATACAGAATGACGTAAGAAAACATAAAGTTGGCAAATCTAATTTTCTTGCAAAAACAAACTTTTCCTTCGGACTAACAATTATTTAAATTTTAATAAACAGCGTCAATATTTAATAAAAGTTAGTATGTAGAAGCAAATCGATATAATTATATTTTATTTTGATTGACTGCATTACCTCTCTGTGCGTTATTTTCAATCTTAGTGGAACCCGCGGCGTGATAACCAACAGTCCAAGGTCAATCCGATTCTAACCACGTAGATGTTTATTTACATTTTTTGCACAAGAAATTCAATAACAATAATTCATTGTTTGTAGATTAATGAACTAAATAATAAATAATAAACTAAAACGGTAAACAAAACCTAATTACCGGTCAAGTGGATGAATAAACTTTTAAAACTCAAAATGGATATAAGCAAAATTGCTAAAACTCAGCTGAAAAATATTGTTTCAGGGGAGGTAAGTTTTCTGTACTATTTCGTCATTTTTAATAATATTAATAAATATTTCAGAAAGAATCTTAACCTCAAATTTTATATGTACTTTTTTTATTTAGACAGTACCTATGGAATCACTATGGGCTGACAAAACTGCTGTTGTAATATTCTTTAGACGTTGGGGTTGCATGTTTTGCAGAGTTTGGGCCAAAGAAGTATGTCAACAACAATAAAAAATGAAGACACAACTTTTGTGAACTGCACTGCACTTACACTTAATCACATCTCAAATATTATCCTTCTATCTTTTAATAATCATCCATCATCATCATATTACTTTCCTCCTTATCATGTACAATTTAAAGTTTCATATTTTACTAATAGCCACTCGTCATGATATTTTTAGCACTTCCTGCAAAACTAATTCACATGCTTCTTCAAAAAATATAGATTTAAATATTAATAATTTCAATGAAACATTTGTTGTTCAATTTTCATTAGATATCAGAAATTTCTGATGAAATTACAGCAAGCGGAGCTAAACTGATTGGAATTGGTGTTGATAATGTTGGTGCAAAAGAATTTGTTGAAGGCAAATTCTTTAAAGGAGGTAAAGTTATGAATATCTTACAAAATATTGTTGAATAAAATGTATCACAATTTAAGGCCTTTTATACTTTTAGACCTGTATATCAGCGAAGAACAAAAAATCTATAATGATTTAGGATTTAAAAGATTCAATTTGGTTTCTATATTTACCTCTTTGTTGTGGAAAGAATCGAGAGAAGCAATAAGCAAAGGCAGAGCACTTGGTACGTCCTGAATTGTTTCCATGTATCGATCTCCCTGTAAATTAAAAATATCTTAGACAGACAATCTATTTCATTTACCAGAAACATTTGTATACATAAGTAAAAAGGAAAAAAATATATTGTACAGTAGAATTAGAAAAATTCTATACATTCTACTTTTTTGTACTTTAATGATTAGTTCCTATATTTCATGCAAAAAGATATACTTACTAAGATTATTATTCATCAATAATTTTATTACCAGGTGTTGGAGGTGACATGAAAGGTGATGGACTGCAAAATGGAGGTGCTCTAGTTGTTCAAAAAGGTGGAAAAATATTATTTGAATTCAAACAAGATGGACCAGCAGAACAGGTACCTAATGCAAAGTTCTTAGAGATATTAAAAGAACAAAATACCACAGCTAATTAAGATATTTTATGCTAATATATTTTATATAAATAATTGGATATTATATTTATTTTTCTTATTAATGAGTCGGTTATGGTTGAACATTTATATATAGGTAAGTGTTTATGATTTTATGGAGTTAAATTTTTGTATTGTTTCAACTTAAATCATGTAGAAGTAATACCAACATCCAATATGATGAAATGATTATTGTTAAATAAAAAATTATTATTAGTAAAAATGATTTATTCAATATTTGGCTTCAAGGAATTATAGTATAATAAATTGATGTTCAAAATTTATGTTTACATAGCTGCATTTGTTCAATTCATTATATAATCAATAACAACCTTCTACGAGAGCTTTATCCTGTAAGGATACCATTTTATATTAGAGTGGAATGTAACATTCACAAAATTTGTTAAAAATAACAATATTTCTATACGTTCATGCTATTTTAACATTCCATTTATATAAATATTTTGCACAACCACTATTATCATCATAAGAATAATCATTTAATTTAATCAACTAACTTAAATAATTTTTATATATGATTAGTCCTTAAATAAACCATTAGCAATTATAAAAAAATATTACTTTGAGTTAATGGAGGTAAAACATTTGGCTACAATTTTATATCATTTAAAAACAGGTGTAAAATAATTTGCTAGATAAAATATGTACAGATTTTACTATCAGTGAATTAAATATTAATTGATAGTTTATGTTGAGGGCTTGTTTAAAGCTAATGTGATTTAATAATTATTCCAATGATAATATTCACTGGCATATTGTGTACCATAATTTTGCATTACACCTTTTAAACATATCAACAAAGTTTTAATTAACATATCAAAAAATAGTTTTTTTTTTTCTTCAATCTCATTGGCAGTTTGCTCGAGATACAATTTGTTATTGGAGCATCATTGCTACAGTTGATATTGTTAGTATTCATAAAATGAATGTACCCAACTAAAGTTGCAATAGTTTTTTCAATAACAAAGATTTTCAATTATTTGAAAATATCCAACAATAAAATATAATATAAGCAAATGTAGCAAATGGATGCCAAATTATCTACTTACATATTTCATAATTATAACGCTTATAAATCATTGATCTGTATAAAAACATTATTTAGATTAGTAACTACTATAGAATTTGAAATACTTAATATTGAACACTATACATTTTGATATAATTCCAAATAATTTGAAGAAACCGAAAAATGAAGATATTTATGAAAATTAATTTATCAATGTAAAAATGCTGTGTAACTGTGTACAATATTTGATACTTACATCTAACTAATACTAACAATCATTACCTAATTATATACAATAATATTATTTAGCACAAATGTTTATACACATGTGTGTTGTAAAGTATTTACAAAACAAATAAAACTATGTCATATAATCTTGTCATTTTTTTTTCAATCTACTTACAATCCATTCAAGGCCTTGGTATAATCTGTAAGAGAAATGCAATAGAAATTGATGAGATATCTCTTAATTTATTAATATGCGATTACATTTGGTCTATTGAACATTTAAATTTAAATACTATTCTTACCCTTCTCCAGTTAAAGCACAGCACGACTGTATATGCCATTGTTGCTTCTTTATTGATGTCAGATCTAACTGCCTTGATATTTCCGCTGCAGTCATAGAGCCCTTCAAATCCTGCAGCAAACAACAATAATTATTATTCATTATATATATTTGATTATATTTATTGGTAAAATGATATTCTGATGATTTATAAGTTAAATTTTATGTAAGATAAAACTCGTTACATCAATATTTTTTAGGTAACTTTTCATTAATAATTGCAAAAATGCCTATAAATTTGTATTCATTTTTAACATGTCTTACCTGTTTATTAGCATATATAAGAACTGCTGCTTTTGATAGCTCCTCATGAGCAAGCATTTTAAATAACTCTTCTCTACTTACAGCTAATCTTTCTCGATCAGTGCTATCGATGACCATTATGACAAACTGAAAATACAATCTATTAGTTATATTGCCACACAAAAAAAGTTTTAATTTATTTTATTCAAGTATACTTCTGTATTTGTATAGTAGGTACTCCATGCAGCTCTTAAACTCTGTTGGCCTCCTAGATCCCAGACTAAAAAACGAATATTTCGCCAAACAACTTCTTCAACATTTGAACCTATGGTTGGGCTTGTGTGAACAACCTCATTCATCAAAAATTGATATAAAATTGTAGTTTTGCCAGCATTATCTAATCCTACCATAACCATTTTATGCTCTGAAATAATAAACAGAATAAATGAAAATCTAAAAACATTATAAAATAATTATAGAAGTAATTATTTACTAATTAGCTATTAGCAAATTCTAACAATCGAATCAAAAAATATTATAAATTATTAGTAAATTATAAATTTGTATATAAGGCTATGCTTTATATCAATTATAGTATAGATTCCACTCATTTATGCTGAAGATTCCAAATAAAAAGTAGCACCGTTAAGCAGATTTTTGTCTTAAGACAGTATATGCAACATAAATTTATAAATAATAATTATAGCAATCTTAAACAAAATAATAAAACTTTTGTCCAAATATAATGAATCGTTATTCGATATAAAAAGCTGTTATTATAAAGCAAGTTAAAGATTTTGTTTAATTCTTTTATTTATGATAATCACAGAACATATCCTTGACATCACGTTTTGTCAAGATAATGTTGTAAAGTTATATCATTAGTTTTTCTTAACCATTCATAAGAGAATGATACAAAAAAGTTATTTTTAGTCTTGAATGATCAAAATCATTTCAAAGCATATGTCATATATAAGATTGCTGATTAAACATCAATTTTTGCAACTCCGAAATTCTTGAATACAAATGATATTTTATAGAATCTATATTCTTAATTGGCTCAAGAATAAGCAATATGTACCACGCATAAGAAGCAAATAAAATAAAATTATATATAGAACCAAAAAAAGCTGTGAATTTAAAGTTATCATGTAAATCATAGAAAAAACAGTTGTGCCTTTTATTGATACACACTAACTATGTAATTATAAAATAAAATCACCTTCATTTCCGAAGAGAGCCCACAATTTAGCAAATATAAGCCCCATTTTTGTCACAATATAAAAAATCCACACAATATTAAATAGAGCATTTGTTAAATTAATTGAGATATCATCTAATTAAAATCATCGCACATATCAGGGTCAAAATGTACACATGTAAAACTACAAAAAATAATTTATAATAGCATAAGTACTAATTATCTAGATCAATTAAAATTAAAACTACGAATTAAAACACGCCATATTGTAAGTTTGACAGAAGGAGTTTGCTGTCTTTGTGTAAATTCTGCAAAATCTGATCACGCAACTACTTTCACCACGCAGTAGGTTGCTTTCTAAAACGCAGGCTGCCAACTGAAAAGTTTTGACACATAGAATCATTTGTCAAACTCAAACAACAAATTTGATGGAGAACATAAATGATGCAAATATAATTTAAACAAAATCATGTGCTCTTAGCAGAAATATTCTTAATAAGTAGTTCCAGTATAACATGACAGCTCCAATGGAGCGAATACAAGTTTTGGATTCTATTGAAAAGGATATTATTACCTGTTTACAAAGTGCCGGTATGTTAATGCATTTAATCATAAAATAATTTACTCTGCTTAAATAGAATATTTTGTTTAATATAAAATAAAATACAAACACTTCACTGCAATAATCTTACAATCAGAATTATTATTTTAGTGTGCATTTTCTTTTCATAGCTATATCTTCTAATAGTACTGAATACAAAGCAATATACACTCAGTTTCATTTGATTGCTCTTTTCTCAATTGCTGACTGATCTGATCTGATTGTTCAATATATGTTTTTACTACAAAAATAAGAATATCCAAATTTTAGTTATGAGTATCTGATTTCATAACATTCGACACGTTTTGTTGCATCTTATACTTACTTTAATGTATTTTCCAAATAAAGGGCATCTTTTCCATAAGTTGTAGAGTCATCATAAGCAAATCTTCTTAATAGCACTAAAATATACAGCATTATAATGTCATTATTTAGTATTTTATAATTTCTTCGTTCTCGAATTAAGTTGACCACTTTTTTTTAATCAGAATATTGATTTGATTTAGAAATGATCAGATTGCTTGCTACGTTTTTTCAATGTAAAAATCATTATGTATATCCATGTCTGTTCATATCCTATACATACTTTGTTTTTCTTTATAATGCAATAAATCTTTCATATAAATTATAGGCCCCTCATAAGTAATTCTTCTTAAAAGCACTAAAATATATAGAGTTATTATATTAATATTCAGTTTTATATAACTGTTCTTTTCTCAAATTAGTTTGGCCACTTTTTTGAATTAATATAAATAATGTCGCAGTATTGCTTAATATAAAATAGATAATATATATATATATATATATATATATATATATATATATATATATATAGACTATGTATAAATATATAAACTTATCCATAATCTCTTATACCAGGCACCCCTGTCTGACTGATATATGAATATATGATACTGATATCTAAATCTTCTATGCAAGTGCATCCTTAGGACATGTCTAGTTATATCTTCAATTATTTCTTACAATACTTAATTCATTTTCCTTTTGCTCAGGTCAAGCTTTTATGGAATTGAGCAAAGAAAAATCAAGCCAGAAACAAGCAGAAGGACAGACACATCAATTTTTAAAGTCTTTAAGCCAAGTTGAATCGAAATTAACAGAGCAAATTAACTACCTCACACAAGTTTCAACAGGACAACCACACGAAGGCTCTGGTTATGCCTCACAAAAAGTCTTGCAAATGGCTTGGCATAGATTAGAACATGCAAGATCAAGAGTAAATGAATTAGATAGACTTAAAACTAAGCATCAACAAAGAAATGCTAATAGAAATAATGGTGTTGTTGCTACAAATAATTCTACTGTAAATAATGCATAATTTTGTAAAATATTTTTTATTGGAAAATAAATTTCTATTCAATCTTTAAATAAACTGTTTTATATGTATATTTTTCATGATTTTTGTTCATTAGTATCACTACATTTTTCTGGGCTATCTGTTTTCTGAATAGTCTTATTATTATTTAGTCCAAAGAAATCACTGTCCACTATATACTTAACACATTGAAGTAAAATATTTCTTTCATGTCTGATTTCATTCCTTAACAACATTTCTAAAAGCGTTTCCTTCCTATAAACTTTTTTAGGTTTATTGTATTCCTTTACAGTATTATCTTTTTTGGAATTGGGTTCTGAATTATTTTTATGATGTCTTTTTCGCCTTCTTGAGGTGCCTTCAGCTTTTTCTGTTTCTTTGGTATCATCTTTCATTATATCTGCAGTGGTTTTATTCGAGTCAACATTATCACAGGTTTGATTAAGATCATTGCAAGCATGAATAATAGGTTGTTCAACGGGTGGTTCATCATCACTTTCATGTGTGCTTAGAGGTATATTTAAATTTTCATTTACATTTAATGATGTATTTTGTTTGTCATCAACTGTGTTTTTTATTTGTTGCACAACTACACTTTTGTTTTCTTGCATAGTTTTATTCTTAGAAATTTGATTATCATTATCTTCTTCATCAGATGAACAACTGTAATTGCTCATAAGCATTCCTAACGCATTTTTTATTGGAATGCTTTCAACAGGTTCGGCAACTTGCTCTTTCCATTCATCATCACTGAATTTATCATCATCTTCATTTTGAATGTTATCATCACTTTCACATAAATCATCTTCTTCCTCATTAGAACTCTCATCTTGAAACAAAGTCTTTGTTCCTGGAAAAGGTGGTAAATCGCCTTTCCAATTCTCTTTGCTAATGTTTTCTAATACCTCATGATTTGCTATTTTTAATTTTTTATGTCTAGGTGCTCTTTTATTGTATTTTTTTGGTCCTGTTTTAAGACCAGTTTTGTTATTATTATGCCCCTGACGATTATTCTTCCGAAGTGAGTTTGAAGTTAGCACCTCTCCTCGTTTCTTTTTTTCTTCCTTGATTTTTTGTCTCTTTATAACATTTTCAGTACTAGGATATTTCCGTTTCCGATCGTTAATCCACTTTGCAATATCTTCAGGGGTGTTTGTAGATCTTGATTTGTTACCATGCTGTTCATTGATGTGTTTCCGCAAAATTGTTTTATTTGGAAAACCTCTTTCACATGCATCACACCAAAAATTTGTGCAAGGATCATGGTAAGGTTGTGAAGGAAATTGCTGACCTGGTGCTGCAAATTCATTGAATGAGCCATAATCATAATTTGGATGTGAATAATTATATATGTTATTTGTAGGAAAATAGTTCTGTGTATTATTGTCCATATTGCATACACCCAACTAGAACTCAATACCCAAGGAGTCAAATATAATATAATAAATATACTCAACATGTAAGAAATAAATAGTTTACGAGTTCTTATTTACTGCATAACTCTTGTATTGAATATGAAATGTATCCAATTATAAATCATATAAATCTCATGATATGGCAATAAGTAATAACATTGAAAACATAAGGCATTTCATATTTGTATATAACCAGACAACTAGCATAAATTAATGGAAAGAATTAATTTAACAAAAAATTATATGTGCACATGTAAATAAATATATTCTTCACATAACCTCAATTTTACATATGACAAAATTATTTGATAATTAAAGTGACATCTTCTAGAAAACTTACTCACATACAGGGTGCATTCGACTTGGACGCTTACGCGCTGTGAGCGCGCCGTGAGCGCGCTTTCATCGTTCGACTTGGCGCTGTGAGTGTCACATAAGTACGCTCGTAGCATCATCGTAGGATGCTCGTAGCACATATTTTGCGCTCATACGTGCTCACGCCACAGAGGTAGGGCAGCGTGAGCGTGAGCGTCAGTTGTTTTTACTATCTGTCATTTCATTTATTTATTAATTGTCAAATTCTTTATAATCCCGCAAAAATGGCAAGCTGTATATCACAATTATTATTTAATATTAATATTAATATTGATTAATTTTAAATTTAATTGATTTTAAATAATTTTAAATTTTAATTTTAATGTTACTATTAATTAAGCATAAGCTAACCAAATTTCATTTATTTATTAATTGTTAAATTCTTTATAATCCCGCAAAAATGCCAAGTTGTATATCACATTTATTTTTTAATATTAATATTAATATTAATTAATTTTAAATTTAATTAATTTTAAATAATTTTAAATTTTAATTTTAATATTAATATGAATTAAGCATAAGCAAACCAAATTTCATTTATTTATTAATTGTTAAATTCTTTATAATCCCGCAAAAATGCCAAGTTGTATATCACATTTATTTTTTAATATTAATATTAATATTATATAATTTTAAATTTAATTAATTTTAAATAATTTTAAATTTTAATTTTAATATTACTATTAATTAAGCATAAGCTAACTAAATTTCATTTATTTATTAATTGTTAGATTCTTTATAATCCCGCTGAATGATCCAGAAAGTAATAAAATTTACACAATTACCGTTACCGCCAGTTGCCGCCATTTTGATGCTTATTGACGCTCACAGTTTCCAAAACGAACGGATTTCAGTTATCGATTCTGAGCGCTTATCGGCCAAGTCGAACGCTAAAAATTCGTGCTTATAAGCGTGAGCGCTCACAGCGCGTAAGCGTCCAAGTCGAACGCACCCACAGTATCATGCAATAACATTTTTCGTTTTATTTTTGTAGTCTTCAATAAAATTTATGTGAAGAACAATAAATATTCATATATTTGTATATAGTATTTTAAATAATGCTAAAACGGTTAATTAACTTAGATTGAAATACTATATTTATAAAAAAATATGTTTTATAATAATAAGTAACGTATATACTCTTCTTTTATCTATTCGTATGTATTCATATAAATCAATCAATATCATTAGATAATAGTTAGAAATATGGTATATATTTAAATTACTAAAAAGTAAAGTCTGTAAATTTATTTCAATTGACAAGGACTTATTAACCCCCGTAAGTTATTATAACCGCCCAAAAATCTAAAATGCTTTTATTTACATATCTTTACGTTTCAGAGGTTTCTGAACATTTTGGCATACCTCAGAAAAATGGATGTGTGTGTTTATGTGTGGATATAATTTTTTGTCGACAATTTCGGGCGTATGAATGAACCAATTTGAATAATTCAAAAAGCAATCAATCCTATGAGATCTCCTGATAGGGAGATGTGCTGATTAGTTTTTGGCAAAGGCAGGTCCAGCCGTTTCGGAGATACAAAGATAAATGTATGAAAAGTAGCAGTTTTTGAGAGAACAAAACATCTAAATTGAATAATTTAAAAATCTTTCTGCTTGTGTTGACGCAACAATTGCTTTTGAGGTAAGAAATTTTGTTTATTTCATATTTTTTTAATTTTCAATTTTTTTTCTTTTTTGAAAATCAAAAATAATTCGGATTTTCATTCTAATTCCAGCTAAAGTTCTAAACATCACTTATATACTTCAAATAAATAATTTTAAATTAACTATTTAGTTTATGTAATTTTAATAAATATTAGACAATGTTCTTTATTCTAAATCCGATTGATCAAGTTTTGTTTATTTACTTTTCGTACAAGCATATATAAACGTCGTCGCCCTATTCATAAGCTTTTTTATTTTGTCTGTAAAATACGAATAGTGAACAAAGATACAATACTTATAATAATCTGTTTGAAAACATTGCTTGAGTATTTTATTACAGTACGGAAGGTTCCAGCTATTTGCCTTAAGGCATGATGCCATGCACCACTAGTTTTATAGTACACAACAAAATAAAATAAAATTACCAATTATTGAAAAATTATTCACATTGCATTGCTATCAATGTGAAACTTGATTTTTGTTATCAATAATTACGTTGATTAATTAATTAAGCAGTACCGTAACTATCAAATGCATTACATTCTTTAAATTACTTTTGTTTTGAATGCATACATGCATCATGCATGCATAATTTGTGAAAATATATATTTTGCCATTTTCAAGTTAGTATGTACTAATTTGTTATTTATAATTTTTTCTCTGTTATAGTACTATGACAGAGAAAAAACTATAAATAACCATGCATTCTAAAAATATATAGACTTGTTTCCAAAATGATCAAGAACAGCTTTAGAAAATAAAATTTTTAATTAAACTTTGATAAATAATCTAGTTACCATCAGTTTCAATGTTTCTAAATATATTTTAGTAAATGGTGAACTAGCTCTCCTTCTATTATTAGTAATTTTTCAAATGGTGGTCAACATGTAGAAAGAATGTGCTGTCACTTGTCAGTTTTGTAATCCTTTGCAATAAAAATCTTATTTATGAAAATAATTATGTTTTAAAATTAGTTTTTATATTATTGACACATTGATTTATTTGGAACTAATTATCATTAAAAATTATATATCTCAAATTAATTCTATGTCTTTGAAGTTTTTGGCTACAATTTACATTATCCTACATTAATCCTGTGTTAACCTTCAAAAATTATTTTCTAATATGTTTAAAAAAGTACAAATACCTGCTCGTCCTGCTCCACCGACTATAGAAGAAATGATTAAAGATTTGGAAACATTTTCAATGTCACTAGAAGGCCTGGTCAATATACAAGCAGATGCCCTCGATGAAGAATGGATAACCATTGAAAACTTTGTAATTCAATTGAATGCTCTAAAAACCAGTTCTAGCAAACTGAAGGCATATGAAGAAAATTTAACACAAATCGAAAATGAAATTGATACTAGTTGCAATGAAATTAAAACGCAAGCTTCTAATGCTCTAAATTAATTGAACATTAGACATAACATCTTAATTATAAGTTGAAGATTTTATATTATTTATTTTTATAATACTGAAATATATTTATACACAAATAAAAATTGTAGAAGCAAAATGTGTGTAGTTTTAAATTTATTTAAAAGTGTTAATTATAGCAATATTTGTATAAATATCATATATTACAATACTTTTATAGAATTAAATAAAAATATAAGTCTTATAATCAGTGATAGCAATTCTGTATTATGCTATATATGGAAGACCACCATTTGGCTCTACCATTCCAGCACAACAGCTGCATGGAAATCCTGTAATTTAAATGCGATTTGTGGTCAAAATTACATGAATAACTGAAGTTTATATATATTTATATAGAATATGATTATATTCTGTTACTCGACTCTAAGAATTAAAATCAGATCAATTTTGTTAATATCATATACAGTAAACCCTCGCTTTACGCGGCAAGTGCGTACCGTGCAGTATAGGAACCGTGCTATAAGAAACTCGTATTTAACATACAATTCGGGCTAATTCGTAGTGCGTTCTATGGAACCTTACATAGTGCAGTATGGGAACCGTGTTATGAGAGACTCAGAGTTGGTACAAATTGCACCATTTTTATCGCGTTGTATGGAGACCAAGAAATACAACTTGAAGTAGGAGAAATACGGACGAAATGACGTAAATGACGTGACAAAATTGACACCTTATTCAAAAATTGGCGCGACGCAGTAATCAGCTCAAACGTGTTCTTAGGCGGCTATTATACAATCAAAACACACAAAATTTACATCAATACCCTTTTGCATAACGAACTTATGGGCTGTTGACCAAATACCGCGTAATAAGAAGTCCGTGTAGTCGGAGGAATGTCGGATTTTTAGATCCGTGTAGTATGGGAACCGTGTACCCAAAGTGCCGTGCAAAGCGAGGGCCTACTGTAATCAATATAAAAGCATGTAATAAAATAAAAATAAAAATGCTATATTACAGAACAGAGCATGCTCATATCAATAATTATAATATTATACTTACACAAGGACAAAGAATTAGTGTAATAATATTAAACATTTTAGTCTTCCAAAGGTTTCACAATGGTTAATTTAAAGAAAATTATTTATTTGAAAAAAATCCAATAGTAGTCAATCAAAGAAAGATTTCAGATACAATTAAAACAATCGAGTTTTATTTTTAACATATAGTGCAAGAACATGCTGCTTACACCTTAATAACATATAATTTAGTTTTTAACTCATATTTTTGTACCCTCATTATTTTCTTCTAAGAATGAAGATCGTGCACCAGGGTTCGAAATAAGCTTATTATTGCACCAATGAAATATTTTGGTGTTATATCATAACATAAACTAAAATTATTGCTACTACAAAAATACATCATCTTCCAAACTTACTTTCATATATTTTTTCTTATTATCTCTAACTATATCCAAACTTTAAAAACATGCATGGAAATATTAGTTTGTTTTAGACCAAACCCTCATTATTTGTTTCGAATATTAAAAATCATGCAACAAGATACAAAATAAGTGTATTTATACTTATTACAATAATATATTTTAGTGTTACTACGAATTGTTAAATAAAATAAAACCATTTACAAGCTTCTATATTTAAATCCTTCAATGACACTTATTCCAAGAGTTTTTTTAAAATCAAATATGAGTGCTTCTATAATATCAAACTGTTACCC